GCTGTGGCCTCTCCCATTGCGGAGCACAGGCTCCAGACGCGCAGGCTCAGCGGCCATGGCTCATGGGCCCAACCGCTCCGCTGCATGTGGGATCTTCCCGGACCGGGGCACGAACCCGTGTCCCCTGCATTGGCAGGTGGACTCTCAACCACTGCGCCACCAGGGAAGCCCAAACTGTGTCTGTTTTTAATGAATGTGTTCAGAGTTGAGAAGTAAGATAGTCACTAGTCAACTGAATATTGCCCATAATTTTGTCTTACACTTGACATTTTAAAATAAGTGCTAAATAAATATGGCGGTCTGTCTACAAGAGCACAGCTACAGATGCCTGCTTGTTGGGTCAACTGCTCCAATATTAGGAGTGGTGTTTCCCTCTACAAACTCTTTTTCCCAAATGGTGAACAACTCCGGACAAAGCTCTCAAACAAAACAAAGTATATTCTTTCCTCTATTTAAACATAGTTGCATTTCTGAAAATTCAGTGAAAAATACTTTGTGTTGATATGTAAAATGGAATTAGGTTCTGGCTTCAGATAACTATGAACGGTGTTTTCACCACACAGGTGTCTTGTGGGAATTAAGCAATTCTCCTTGGGCGGGGGCAGCGTCACTGTCCAGTGCATTGCACGACTTTTAGCATTTTTAGCATTCCTGGCTCCTGCCCTCTAAATGCCAGAACCTCCAATAGCTCTCCCCATCTGCAAGACATTAAAAAATATTCCCACAAGTTAAAAAACAAAACACCGATAACAAAAACAAAAACCCCACAACACTCAGTGGGGGCTATAGTAACCCCATAGAGAACCACCTTTGAGATGAATGATGCTGAGGGAATATGCAGGAGGTCCCAGCCCCTGGACCTGGCGGAAGCAGCTGGAGGGATCCAGGAGGTTGTTGGGTTGCTGGTTTGGCAGTGAGACGGATGGGAGCAGGACTGGACCAGTAAATTTGCAGATGCTTGTGCAACCTGCATGGGGTGACAGAGGGGAGGGAGGGGATTTGAATGAAATTGAAGCTATTACTAAGTCAAGCCAGTACCACCTTTTTAGTATCTTACTCCATGTCCCTCTCTCCATCCCCATACTGGTCACCTCCTCCCAGGACAACAGCAGCAGCCCATCCCTGGTCTCCCTTCACCCCTCTGCCCCACAGTCCATTCTCCAAGTGGAAGCCAGAGCTTTCTAGAGTGCACCATGACTCTCTCCCTCCTCCCTTCCCTAGGATCGGGCCTCTGATGGACAATCTCCTTCCAGTTTCCGGGCCTTTAGCTCCCCCCACCCCCCAGTCTCCCCTCCCTTCACCCGTTAATCCTGCTCATCCGTCAGGCCTCTGAGCAAATGCCCCCTTTTCAGAGAAGCCCTTCCTGACTTCCCAAGGAGTTGGCTGGGTTTCTGGACACATAGAAAGAATTCATATAAAAGGACCGGCAAAATAATTTTTTTTAAGTGCCTAGTAATTTGACTCACTTCTGTCAAATCCCTGAGGGCAGGCCTAATCTATGTAGCTCACGGTTGAATACTCCGTGCCTGGCACTTAGTAGGTGCTCAATAAATATTTCATAAATGAATGAATGAATGAACTAATTAATTTCTGCAGACCGCTCCTCAGGGTTCAAGGCGCAGGGACCAGGAGCCCTTTATTTCCTGGTAGCTGCACCTCCCTGCCCCGAGCATTTCAGGCCGTGCGGACGCCGGGCCTCAGTTTTCCAGCCTGCAAAGGGGGCTGGCCTTCGGGGGATGGATTTGCTCGCCACCGGGCGCGCCCCCGCTTCTCAGGCTGGAGGGCCGGGCGCGCGGCCGAGGCGCGCGCGTCGGGCGCGCGGGAGACGTGACTGGCCAGCCGGGTCCTCCCGCCGCCGCTCGGGGGATCCCGCGCCGCGCACGCGCGCCCCGCCCCGGCCGCTGCCACT